TGATGGGGGAGGTGGGGTAGAGACCCCTGGGGGGGCCAGGGGGCCGGGATGGAGGTGCAGACCCCCCGCAGGGAGAGGAGATGACGCCTGGAGGCCCCGCCCCTGTGCGCTGCGCTTGCCTGTGTCCACACAGAAGTGAATGAGGGTCTCAAGGGCAGAAACCACACCCGTGTGGACATGGAGCTGAGGAGGAGCCTGGGTGGTGGTCCCACTGCCATAGAGGGGACCTGGCCTCCCACCTTCCACACGCACTGAGGCGCACCCTGAGCTGTCCCGCTCGAGGGCACTGGAGGCCACACCCCGTGTCTCTGAAGCTCCTACCCGTCGTTCTGAGAAAAGACAGAAGTGTGGTCAGCGCCCTTGTCTTCAGACGAGGAACCTCCCAGTAGTCCGGTAAGGAATGCGTCTGAGGGGAGTCCGCAGGTCTGTAAGGGACGACCCCCAAGTCCCGGCCATCGCTGCCGCCAGACCAGAGGCCGTGGGTGCCGGGTGCTGCCCTGGGGGTGGCCCCTCAGTGGGTCTGTGCACGGGCTCTCAGGCGCTGGGGAAGGGGCCTGCACGGGTTATGGGTGGGGTGTTCACTAGGAGCAAGGCACTCACTGCTGTTTCTGTGGCTCGAAGCTGGACCTTACATTTCTCCATTTTTAAATGGAGCTTAAAAAACACAGCTGCTGTCAAGTGACCCTGGCCGAGGGTGACTGCACAGAATGGAGCCTGCTCCTGGGATTCCCAGCTGAAGGAGGCCAACGTGCAGAGTGAGACCTGCTCCCAGAATTCCCGGTCAAGGGCAACTGCGCAGAATGGAGCCTGTTCCTGGGATTCCCGGCAGCTGATCTTGTGGAAGCTGATTACCAGGACTTTCTCCGAGGCACCCGATGGACTCGAGCCCCCAGCCTGGTGCTCACCAGCCGAGTGCGGTAACCATCTGCACCGCCCAGAAAACCCATTGCCGTTGAGTCGAGGGCAGCTGTGTGCATCCTTCTCGGCTGTGATCTCACTGCTGCGTCCGCTCGGCTGTAGTCTCACTGCTGCGTCCGCTCGGCTGTAATCTCACTGCGTGGGTCCGCTCGGCTGTAATCTCACTGCTGCGTCCGCTCGGCTGTGATCTCACTGCTGCGTCCGCTCGGCTGTG